GCAATGGTGAGAGGGTAGGAACTGCGACTTTCACTCCTACCGGCAGTTTAATGCAGCCACAGCAATGAAAGCACACGAAAGAAGCCCAGGTTGTTCGTTTAGGGTTTAGGGTTTAGGGTATAGGGTATAGGGTATAGGGTATAGGGTTTAGGGTTTAGGGTTTAGGCTTTAGCCCCAGAGACGAGGGTCTCCAGAAACTCTCTCCACAGGGTTCATGGGGTTCATAGGGTTTAGGGCAGAGGGGCGCAGGGTGGTTCTGTCAATGGCCGCCCGTGCGTCGACACGACTTCAAGGAGTTGGTCTTGTATCTGAGAGATATTCAACATACCCCTTGGGCATACTCCTTAAAAGAAATTACGGAAGGGGTATGGTAAAACCCTTCTTTATATTCTCCTTTGATAGGTTAAGGGGTATGGGTTTGGGGTATGTTGGAGTATTCTTAGATTGTAGGATTCTGCTGTGCAGGGGGGCTTCGGCTTGGGGGTGTTGAGGATTAGAACTTGGCAAGTTTCCCCCTTATACTAACAGTCCTCAATAGGGATTGCAGTACCCCGTATGATCATCTCAATGAAGGGACTGTAGCAGCTGTAGCATAAGGGGAACATCCCAAGTTAGAACCCTTCACCCTTCAAGTAGGAATCCACCCTAACTAAACAACCCGACTTCCGGATACCGTGGAGCCCAGCGACAGCAACCCCCGGCGTTCGTCGATGAACTCTCTGTCGTGTCCTCGGTCGGAGGCTGTTAAGACCCATCATGCCCTAATCGGGTTTCGGGTTTCAGGGCTTTGGGTTGCGGCCGAGAGTGTTTGTGGCAATGGATCTCGTGCGTATGACACACAGTATGAGCTTTCGAACTTGTAGCACATCAATCACAAAAAACCTGGACAAGCCTGGCTGAGGGAACTGCACCCTCAACCCACAGAACGAGCTGAAAAACTGCCGGGGGTCTGCGCAACTTGGAACGGGTAAGTTGCGCAGGTGGCCACAGACTTCGCGATGGCGCCGGCAATGAAGGCATGGGATGCCGAGATCTCTACCTCTTTGTGTAAGAAGCTCCGCTTCACGAGGTCGTAGATGACGAACCTGGAAGTCAGTGTTTGCAATCCCTGGTCCGCTCTCAGGATCCCTTGATCTCTGGGTGCAGACACACTTTACCCTAAACCCTAAGCCCTAAGCCCTAAGCCCTAAACCCCTGAACATCCCTCGGCTCCCTCTCAGCCCCTAAACCCTAACTTAGGGTTTTTTCGGGTTTAGGGTTCAGGGTTTCGGGTTTTTGGGGTTTTTTATCGCTCACACTCGGACTTTCAGGGTTTAGGGCTCAGGGTTTTGGGGCCTAAACCAATGTTTAGACTCTAAAAACCCTTTAGTCTCTCGATTGCGGGCATATGCATGCTAGGCCTGAAACCTTCGCAGCTTCGGACTGGCCTGGACTGGGGGGGTTAGCGTTTAGGGTTTAGGGTGTGGAGGCGCTGCTTTACCCATCGTTCGAGTGTGCTAACATGGCCACGACAGACAGGAGCTTTAAGCCAACGTTACCATTCTGCCGGCGACTAGGCAAAATTCTGTACCCTGGTTGTGGCATCTTAGTTGAGGTTCCGAAACAAGAGCACAGACAACACTCATGCGCAAGCCAGGCGGCTGAATGGCAGGGTTGGCTACCTTTGCCGGACAGGGGCACAGGTTCAACCCTATAGAGCTCGTTTGGGTGCTTCCCAGACAGTGGCACCCCCAAAGTACCCCCAAAATACCCTACAGGAGCACCTTTTTGGGCACCCTGGAAACCCCCCATTTTCAGAAGTGCTACCCTAAACCCCGACATACCCCTAAAGTTCAGCATCTCAGGGCTCCGGGCTTGCAGGGTTCCCTCTCAGCCCCCACATCCCGAAGCCACCTTGGGTTTAGGTTTTCGGGCTTATCCTCCCCCAGCCCCTAAGCCCCAAGAACCCTACACCCTCGTGCCACTGGACGCAAGTCTAGCCAGCTGCCTAATGCACCGCATTTCTGCTTTTCAGGGAATTCAAGAGAAACCTTAAACGTTAAAACAATCAACCCTAAACCCCAAATTTCTAAACCCCAAAACCTTAAAACCCTAAAAAAACATAACTATAAGAATAACTAAAACCCTAAACACCCTATAACCCTTAAAACCCTACAACCCTAAAACCCGAAAACCCTAAATACCTAAAACCCTAAACCCCTATAAACCCCCCCAAACAATGAACCCTAAACCCGGAACCCCAAAACCCTAAACCTTAAACCCTAAACCCTAAACCCTAAACCCCGCAAGAAGGCAGGTGGCAAGCAGCATCGAGGATGCCATGCCGCTCCAGAGAGCACCGAAGCCCTCCTGGGCGAGGATGTAGCCCACCCTCAGCAGACTCGTTTAGGGTTTAGGGTTTAGGGTTTAGGGTTTCGGGTTTAGGGTTTAGGGTTTGGGGTGTGGAGTGTTTGGGGTTGAGGGTTTTAGTGCTTGCAAAGGCTTTTTGAGGGAGATTTGTTGTGGGGGGGTTGAGGGTTTAGGGCTTAACAGGTTTTTTGAGAGGTTTTAGGGTTCATATTTAGGGCTCAAGAGTTCTTTTGGGGGGGTTCGAGAAGTACCCTGCCCTTCTAAACCGCAACCCGTGGCGTGCTTGTCGAGGCACCCGAAACCCTAAACCCTAAACCCTAAACTCTGTCGAGGCACTCTTGCCACAGACATGCGCCGGTCGCTTGCCCGATCTTTAGGCGAGTGGTGGCCTGGGCGTAGAACAGCAACTCAGGGTTTGGGGTCTGGGTTATAAAGGCCGGTGGTCTCTTTATCTGCTACCCTTATACCTTACTACAGCCCCTAGAAACCCTAATAAGAGCCCCTACAAAGCAGAAACCCTACTTAGAGAGACCACCAAACAACATAAGGTCTGGGGTTGAAAAGGTTGGGGGCTGCTGGGCTGCTGTGGGGATGGGTGGCAAAGAAGCCAAAAGTGGGCTTCAGAGCTCAGTGCACCCCTCTAAACCCCAAACCCTAAACCCTCAACCCTCAACCCTCAACCCTAAACCCTGAACCCCAAACCCTAAACCCTAAACCCTAAACCCCTGCCAGTCTTGGGGCAGCCCGGTTTGATGAGGGCCTTCTGAGGGTTAACATGAGGAGGACTCGGGCCCGGGAGTTTTCACCTGAGCTCCAACGATTCAAACCCAGATCCCCCAGCCAGGCTCAAGGCAATCTAGGCTGGAGGCTGCTGTGCTGTAGACCCCTCAGCCCAAACAGCCCAATGTCCCTTCACTAAGGAAATTGCCTTAGATCATATTAAGGATCCCTATATCATTTTGAGGTATGTACCTTAATTAAGGGGTATGAAGGGCTCCCTGGGAAGCCCTAAGGCATCGAACCCCATTGGTCCCGAAACCCTGCCGACAACCTGAGCCCTGGCAGGTCTGCAACATGGGGGGTTTACCATATTGGCGGGGGGGGGGGGGGGGTTACCTTATTGGGGTCCGTATGATAAGGGGATCCTACTATTTGGGGGGTCTATTCGTAAACCCCCATAATCTTGGGACGTTCTTCTAGGCCGGATAGCCGGCGGATCTACACTTTGTTCTTTGGTGGGTTGGGGGGTGGGAAGGGCGACGCGGGCTTTTTCGGGTCCTCCGCACAATGTGATCCTCTGACTATCCTCTAAACCCAAACCCATCTTGTCTGGGTTCAGAGTAGCCAAATGATCCTTATTCAAAGGGTTCTAAGAGGTTCAGACGCGTGACCCCCTAACGAGTTCCAGGGTTTGAGTTTCCGTTCTAAGGTTCTAGGGTTCCGATGTTCTAGGTTACCCGAAACCCTACACCCTAAACCCAAAACCCTAAACCCTAAACCCTAAACCCTAAACCCTGTTCTCTCAAGAAACTGCTTGACGAGGCCCGGACCACCCAAAGCGGAGTGCTGAGCGCCACCTTGGAACTCAGCTCAGTCGGCATGCACCGGTTTTAAGGTTTAGGGTTTAGGCTTTAGGGTTTAGGGTTCAGGGTTTAGGGTTTAGGAACATACACTTACTGCGTGCGCGATAAACAAGACGAATAAAAGGAGAAAAGAAACGGGAAAAGGGCGCAGAATGAACGGTAAAATCACGCTTCACGTTGTTCATTGTAATTTCCCTTTCATTTTGGGCGGTCGAGAGGAAGAGACTAATAAGGTCGCTAGGGCACCCTTCTTGGCCTTTTTGGGAACACACACCTCCATGCCCCCTCATCTCGCAGGAGCCACAAACCTGCAGCGACGTTACTATCCCAACTTATCCACTTGGAGGCCGAGGCACGCCCAGCATACCCGCCAGGCTCGCAGAAACCAAGTCCTCTTCACAAGCCGCTAGGGCCCTACTTGGAGGCTCATGGGTAGTCATAAGTAGCGATATACGTACGCGAACGATACTTCTGACCCTATGTAGGGTATTCATAACCCCGACACACAAGTACCCATGAACCTCCAAGTAGACATGTCCAGCTTAGCCTGCAGACCTAGGGGAAGGCTGCTCAGGCCAAGCTCCAGAACCCCGAACTTCTGCCCCCTTCAAGGAGTGGTGGAGAATGCCCTTTGAACGTTTCGTGGTGGAGAATGGCCTTTGAATAACGTTGCTGACGGACCGGGGAAACAATTGGCACATGCCTTGAGCTGACTGCTGAGCAGACAAAGTCTCGATCCTGAAACACGCAAAGCGTCCGATGTGCTGCTGTGCTCACTCATTGCTTGGGCACCGAACCAGTCACCGTTACTTAGAGGCCCTGAACCCTAAACCCGAAACCCGAAGCCCGACTAGGTCGAGTTGCATGGCCGCTCTCTATGCAAACCCACGCGGAAGCTGCGCCACGGCCTGCACACCTGGTCTCAAAAGTTCTATCGCTTAAAGATTCAAAAATCCGAAACTCTACACCTTGGGATGATCCCCCTTATGCTAACACTCCTTAACAAGGATTATATTAAGGGGTACGAAAATACCTAGCCCGAGCCCGACACCCTACTCATAACGCTACTTAGAACTGCCGATCGCCGACAACACTGCCAACTCCAGCCCCGTCCGCGACGCTCGGCGGCATCTGCCGCGCCCGAAAGTGGGGCTTCATGTAGGTGTAGGCACCTGGTTTTAACCCCTCCCTTGGGATGTTCCCCCATTATACGAACATGTAGGTGTAGGCACCTGGTTTTAACCCCTTCCTTGGGATGTTCCCCCTTATACGAACAGCCCTTGAGAAGGATTTTAGTATCCCCTATCATAATGTCGTATCCTGATTAGTCTGGACCCCTCCAATAATGAAAAGTTTTCCAAAAATTATTCAGGAGACAAAAATTCGATTGCCCCCCCACAATAAAGTAAAGTTTTTCGGGCATGGGTTTCGGAAGAGAGAAAAAAAGAGAACAAGATGATGAAAGAAAAGAGCAAAAGAAGAGCAGCTTCAAGTCGGAGTTCTGAGCTGTCATCCCCAACCTGAGCTGAGTAGCTGAACTGTGAATCTGAGCTCTGAGGTCGAAAATCTGAGGTCTGAGCTGTTAAATATGAGCTCTAAGCTTTAATTGCAACCGAAACTGAGCTTAATTACCTGAGAGGAGAGGGAGAGGGAGAGGAAGAGGAGAGGGAAGAGGAGCGAAGAGGAAATGAAGAGGAGCCGGTGGGGGGGGCCCGGGGCCGAAAATGAGTTTGGGGGGGTCCCTTTGTTTTGGTGACACTATTGCGGGGCGGGGGTGGATTTAGTTTGGGGGGGGGGGGGGGGGGGGGCACACTAATCAGGATACCACATTAATCCCGATTAAGGACTGATAGTATAAGGGGGTACATCCCAACCCCTCCACGCTGAAATCACTCTTTAAACTACCTTAAGCCCTATTGAAGAATGGCTAGCTTCTTCATTTCATAACTCTGTGTGAGCTGGTTTATTGTAGGTTATAAAGAAAGGAAGCCCATCAGGCCCCTCGATTGGCAAGATTGAAGGAAGAGAGGTCCGGTGCGTTTAGGGTTTAGGGTTTAGGGTTTAGGGTTTAGGGTTTAGGGTTTAGGGTTTAGGGTTTAGGGCTTAGGGTTTCAGGGCTTAGGGTTTCAGGGGCCGCCTCCCTCAATCTGGAGCCCTAAGCCCTAAAGGCCCCAAAGCCCTGATCCTTGCGCGAACCCCTAAACCCTAAACCCTACACCCTAAACCCTAAACACTAAATTTTAGGCTTCAGGGCTTCAAGCTCAGGACTTGAGGGCCCTTTTGGGAGCTTAGGGCGCTCAGTTGTCCAGCAACCTGGGGGAACTACAAATTAGACTTTGGGATGATAAGGGGTTTGTACGACCCCAGAAAAAAGTTAAAGGCTACCTGCTCTACAACTCAGTAGGGCTTTGGGATTCTAAGGGGGTCCCAAAAAAAAGCTAAAGGTTACCTGTTCTACAACTCAGTAGGGCTTTGGGAGTATAAGGGGATGACATAGCCCCAAAAAAGTTGAAGGTTACCGGCTCTGCATTATAAGGGGATGATGTACCCCCAAAAAAGTTAAAGGTGACCTGCTCTACAAGTAAGGGGCTTGAGGCAGGTTTGGCGGCAACCTGGCTTCGCAACTTGATCGGAACCTTTTCCTTCTGAACTTCCGAGGGTTTAGGGTTTAGGGTTTAGGGTTTAGGGTTTAGGGTTTAGGGTTTAGGGTTTAGGGTTTAGGGTAAGAAAGCCCCAGAAGCTTCAAGTTCGGACATTGGGCAGGTGTATAAAAACTAACAACAGCAAGTGGTCTCAAGTTCTGGAAACACCAAACCCTGAACCCTAAACCCTAAACCCTAAACCCTAAACCCTTAACCCTAAACCCTAAACCCGAAACCCTAAACCCAAGGACCCAAGCTGCATCTGTTCTTCGGTTGGGCGGGTTCGACACTCAAAAAAACACAGCATTGGGGTTTAGTCCGAACAAAGAACCCCAGACCCTGAACCCTCAAATGAAGTGCCGTTCAGCAGCTGAAGTACACGAAGTAGGACCTTGGCTGTGCTAGGGCTGATATTTACGGTTTAGGCTTTATAGGGTTTAGGGTTCATACCGCTTCATTAGGGCTTATAGGGTTTCATAAGGGTTCAGGGTTTATAGGGTGCAGGGTTCACGGCTTTTAAACTCCAGGAAACCTCCTTGTCCTGAGCCCCGAGCCCGGCTACGAGCACTCGTCTTACAACCCTCGCAAACATAGAAGGCGTACGGCCCCCCCGGTATCTTGCCAGCTGAATCCCAAAACAGCAAATCTAACTAACAAAAAGAGTAGACCTGACAACCTGCCAAGTGGCAAGCCAGTGGCTTGAAGCTGGCTTCCCAAGCCCCCTCAGTGAAGGTCTAGCTCGGTCCGGGGTTTAGGGTTTGGGGTTTAGGGTTTAGGGTTTGGGGCTTAGGGCTTAGGGTTTAGGGTTTAGGGCTTAGGGTTTAGGACTTCGGGGGGTGCAGTCTAGACCCAGGAGTCGCCTAGGAAGAAGAAGGGTGCCCTTTTTGGTTCAACAAGGGCTATCAGGGAGCCAAAACCCAAAAAACAGGGAATAAGGGCCCACTCGACTGAGTTCAGGGTTTTGGGGTTTTAGGGTTTTAGGGTTTAGGGTTTAGGGTTTAGGGTGCATCAGAAGTATAAGGGGCCCTCTGTAACCCTGCGCTGCCGCACTGGCCGTGTCGCCGTTGTAGTTTCTGGAGCTTTGGGTTGAGGGGTTTAGGGTTTAGGGTTTAGGGTTTAGGGTTGAGGGTTGAGGGTTTAGGGAGGGGCTTATGGTCATACTACAGAGCACGGGTTCAGTATTCAGGTTCCAGGAATTCAGTGAGGCTGCACATGGACACATGATGGCATTTCCTATTTAAAGGAATATATATATATATATATATAGATATGTATGTGTATACCCTGAACCCTAAACCCATGAAAAAAAAAAAAAAAAACTAAAAAACAACAAAAAGGTCCAAGTTGGACCAGGTGTCTGAAGCAGTCATCCTCGGAGAGCAGCATGTTGAGCAGGCCTTCTCATTCAGGGCTCTGCCGGGCTTAGGATAAGAGCGGTTTAGAGTTAGGGTTTAGGGTTTAGGGTTTAGGGTTTAGGGTTTAGGGTTTAGGGTTTAGGGTTTAGGGGTTGAGCTCCGTCAGCATACGGTGCCTTGCGAAAGCGAAGAGCTGAAAGAGTCCCCTAAACTTGGCCTCGGCTATAAACTGGGCATTTTCCGCAACAAGACACCACAAGATCTTGTAGCCGCACCCTAAACCCTAAACCCTAAACCCTAAACCCTAAACCCTAAACCCTAAACCCTAAACCCTAAACCCTAAACCCTAAACCCTAAACCCTCCTTCCTCTTCGTGACACAAGTTGCGGCCCCCAGCCCAAGGAGTCGGTAGACTCGGCTCAGCATTAGCAAACCTCGTATCGGTTTAGGGTTTAGGGTTTAGGGTCTAGGGTCTAGGGTCTAGGGTCTCGGGTTTAGGGTTTAGGGTTCACATTAGGATTTAGGATTTGTACGTTCAAGGAAGTCGGAACACTACTGTCCTCTCTCCAAGCCTTGTTGCGCTGTGCAGAAACAGCACTCTGAGAAAAAGCGCCGAGACCTACATCTGCAAAACCAGGGCAAAACCCCTCCCCTCAACCCTAAACCCTAAACCCTAAACCCTAAACCCAAAAACCCTAAACCCCAAACCCCTGAAATCCTGCCTCCATGCACACCTGCGGCCTGGGAGATGACTCCAATCTGGTCCAGGGGGTACCTGGAGGAGTTTACGAGATTCGGGGCACCTTGTTGGGGTTAGGGTTTAGGGTTTAGGGTTTAGGGTTTAGGGTTTAGGGTTTAGGGTTTAGGGTTGAGGGTTTCGGGTTTCGGGTCCTCATTATACGGGGGTCCTACTGTTTGGGGGTCTATATTAGGGGTCCCTTAGTATCGTAAAACCCCACATCATCGTCTGAGGGTCTAGAGTTTCAGGGCGCCGCAACTCAGCTGGCGCGGGCTCAGGAGAGATAAGGGTTGGGATGTTCCCCCCTATGCTGACAGTCCTTAAACCCTAAACCCTAAACCCTAAACCCTAAACCCTATCCCCTTTAAGGACTCTTCGTATAAAGGGGGGAACCTCCCGAGGAGTAGGGTTTACGGGTGCAGCAGCTTAGCATTCAGAACTTCGTGCTGTTTAGGGTTTAGGGTTTAGGGTTTCACGATTGGCGGATCCATGAAAAACGCTGCCGCACCGAGCTGCAAGCCAAAGCATCCCAGCCGAACCCAAATCCCAAAATCCAGGACCCAAAAAACAAAAGTTTACACGTCACAAAATGATGCAAACAAAAGTTTCCAGGCAAACAAACACATGCCCTAAACCCTAAACCCTTAACCCTAAACCCCAAACCCTAAACCCTAGACCCAAACACTTCCAAACCATGGCCGGTGAACAGCAATGCGGTGGAGGCGATCGAGGCCAGCAGGCCTGCGCTGCACTTTGCGAGGCCCGGGTGCTTCTGATTACTTCGCTGAGACTTTGGGGTTTAGGGTTTGGGGTTTGGGGTTTGGCGTTTGGGGTTTAGGGTTTAGGGTTTAGGGTTTAGGGTTTAGGGCTTCGGGTCTAGGGGAGCTTTTGGGGCGATGTACAGCCCGGATTTCTCAAAACTCGCCTCGATCGCGGACCTCGTCCCACGACTCTTCTTCGCATTCGGCATCTACGGCAACGAAGGTCCCATCGTTGCCCCAGCAGACTCCCCGACTCAGCTTTCATCCTTCTGTCCTCCTTACGTCGCAACCCTTCGCAACCACCCAAAGCCTCAATTAAGGACCTTAAATTACGCAGGGATCCTTGTTTTATTTTAAGGTGTATTCCTCAATTCAGGGGTTTTGGACTCTTTGGGCTTCACTTGCGCCTGCGAGGCCATTCAACAAGATCGGGTTGGTCGCGGCTGCTGCCGTCATTGCACCAGAATGCACCGAGAGGGCGGCAAGGTGTATTGAAACCGGCGAGCTGTCAGGGGGCTTGCTTGCACTAAGGGTCCGCGTGCGCGGCGTCTGATGGTTTGTCGTTTCTTGTCTGCTGCAGAGCTTCTGGGTCCTAGGTCCTGGCACAAAGGAATGCAATCTGACGTGCGGGCCTACTCACCCTCAACCCTAAACCCTAAACCCTAAAATACCATAGGCTGTCTCGGACCCTCATGCCCCAAAATAAGCACATTTTGAGTGGAAAATGAGTGCAACTTCCTCGGCCCCCACTCCCCCTCACGCACGCACCACAACCGTGAACCTGCTCCACGCCACAGCAATACGCCTCTCACTCGCTCTTTTCTTCTGCTTCTTCTTCTTCTACTTCTTCTTCTTCTTCTTCCTCCTCTCCTTCGGGTTCGTAGGCCCTCTCTCTCTCTCTCTGTAAACCCTAAACCCTAAACCCTAAACCTTAAACCCGAAACCCTAAACCCTAAACCCGAAACCCTAAACCCTAAACCCTAAACCCTCATCTGGTACCAACCTGAGGATCCTCGACTCCCCGTGCTCAGGAGCATGGACACGGAAGCTTCGGAGGGCAAATGCAAAAACCCTAAACCCTAAACCCTAAGCCCTAAACCCTAAACCCTAAACCCCAAACCCCAAACAGCAAGGGCAAAATCTTTGCGGTGCCGATAATCAAGGGACCAAAGGAGGGACCCTTGTAAGGGACCTTGGGGGCGCTACATCGGGTCTACTTAGGTATCTAAGCACTCTGGAAAAGGTGGTATGTAGGGGTTATGTAGGGGAAGAAGGGTCCCTTCCAGGGGTCCCTCCTCAGATCCCTTAGCCTAAGCCATCCTCCTCCCTATGGTACAAGGAGCTCATTGTCTCCCCTGCTGGACTTTCAGCCCAGCGCCCGACGTCCCAGGACGTGGGGACGAGATACCGACCTCCAACCCTCAACCCTACCTAGGACCCAAAACCCCCCTACATCCAAAACCCTAGACCCTAAACCCTAAACCCTAAACCCTAAACCCTAAACCCTAAACCCTAACCCACAGGTAGAGCCCCCCCCCCCGCCCCCGTTTTAGCAGCTGTAGACTCGCCGCCTTCTCGGCCCACCACCACAGGTGTGGAGGATCTTCAGAAGCCAGGAGCTCTCCTCTCCAGTAGGGTTTAGGGGTTGGTTGGGTTCGAGCGATGATGCTGCAGTTTCGACCTCCTGTTCTTTGGGGATTCTCGAAAACTCGTATGGAACCCTGGGACCTAGACCCTAAGTCCTAAGCCCGTAAACTAGGGAGTCGAACTTGGGGTTTGGGGTTTAGACGGTTTAGAGTTTAGGGTTTAGGGTTAGGGTTTTCGGGTGTAGGGTTTCCCCAAGGTAGGGTTCACAAGTGTGGTACAAGGCTCAGGGGTATGCGCGGAAGTTCGGGGCATTTGGATTCCTTTGGTTGGGGTTTGGGGCTGAGGGCACAGCTTCCTGGAGACTAAGGGTGCTTTAATCGCTTACACTCGGACAGACCAGGCGAGGAATACCGCCAGTCAGTCAACGGGAGCCACGCCAGGCTTTTTGATTGTAGTGACACTCACACTCATAGCTTCGGATACTACGACTACGACGCTAGCGCAAGGGCGGTTTTAGGGTTCAGGATTGAGAATGATTGAGATCCCCAAAAGCAGCGCAATGTCCCGCAAAGCAAGAGGGCGACGGAAGCCGGCCATGCTGCGTGGCCCTGCAACGCCTGAAGGTGAGAATCCTCCAAGCCCTAAACCCTAAACCCTAAACCCTAAACCCTAAACCCTATGCCCTATGCCCTAAACCCTAAACCCTAAACCCTCACACAGAGGCCTCCTGCGCCATGAAGCCATGGTCGAAAAGCGAGTTCGGGGTGCCGATGCCGGCTGCCTCTTACATCATGGGTTCCTCTACACCCCCCCTCTAAGGGTTTAGGGTTTAGGGCTAGGGTTTAGGGTTTAGGGCTTAGGGCTTATGGTTTAGGGTTCGGGCTACCCCCCTCTTTTCTACCCCCCCCGAACTTGCCCCCGTAGTTAAGGCTATTTAGGGCCTGATTAGGCCTAACTAAGGTCATTCAAGGGGGAGAACCTCGGGAGGGGTAGCTTTGAGGGGGGCTGTAGGGGAACCCATGATTGCAGTAACCTGCAAAAAGTTGGAACATCCTTATCTTAGTAGCCCAGAACTGGCTGGTTCTTAGAAGAAGAAGAAGAGTGCGCCGAATGTAGCCCCTACTCCCCAGAACCAACCAATTTGCACCGACTCCGCGTTGGGCGCGGCGGCCTCCAGGTGCTACAAAATTGAAGAGCCCTCCATATTGGAACCCACCTAAGGGCGCCCCCACGTAGGTGACGCCCGAACATCCGGGGATTCCCGATAGGAATGCCCCACTGCAGGGTCGGCTCGTGGCCTTCCCCAAAGAGCGAGAAAAAGAAACAGAGGAGTCACAAGTCCGACCAAAGCGCCCCCTCCCTGGACCTCGCACCGTACGCGATAACACCAAAGGGGACCCCCTGTCCACACACACCTCGTGCACAGCCTGAAGGCAACTTAGGGTCGAGACCCCGTGCGCAAAGCCCCCGCAGACAACCACGTGATAAGCCCAACCGCCGACCACACGGGTGGGCAAACCTCACTGGCACACCCGGCACACCACCAGAAAAACCACACCCAGCAGAGGAGAGGGAGACCGCACCATGTGCAGCCCCCCCCCCACGGCCCCCGTGACAGCTTTAAGCCAGAGTGGCCGAGGATGACTGGCATTCCGCCCCCTGTTGACCCAGCAAAACAAATGACCCCAAGGACAAACACCGTACAGAAGGGGGGTCCGACCATGTCGGAAGTGGATTAGCCCATGCTGCATCTCTCATATCGCGCTCTCACCCTGGCCCCAGCACCGTCACACCCACTGGTCCCGAGGCACATCATCCGCACCTAGCGCAAGCAAAAGCACACACACACACACACAGACACACACACACACACACACATCGCGCACAGCCACAAACCCTAACTAGTGCAGCAGCATGGTTGCCCGCGCGGCGGCCACGGGGAGGCCGACGCCAGTCGGTGCCGCGCTTTTAGAGCTGCGCACAGTCATGGGCTCCTGGCGCTGTGCAGGGACAATGCCTCTTTGAGGCTTGGTGGTCTCGAAATCAATATAACCGAAGCGTCTCCTCCACTCCCAACAGCGTCACGTAAGTCGTTAGCATACAGAAGCTGAATCTTCAAGTGCTGGGGTGCATGTAGGTTAGCCTCATCCAAGGTCGGAGACCTGCCCCGTGGACATAATGATGGTTGTAAAAGTTGATGACTCAAAGGCAAAGCGGAGGAGCATGCTGTACTCAATGAAAGGGGCGTCTAGCATGAAGATCCCAACTGCTGTTAGGATGAGGATTGTTAAGAATGACGGGAACTGAGCGTCGCACCTTGGAAGGTCCAACGCAATCCACGCTTCTCCAGAGTTCAGTTTCCGGCCAGTTGCAGCGTGACCTCCATGTTGTATCGTGTAGCCCAACATCCCAAATGATGACCGTCCGTGGGTGGCAACCTTCTTTAAGAGGTCTGCAACGCCCTTGCAGATAAGGGCTGGCGTTTTAGCCATGTTGAATACCAGTCTTCCACCCACAGTCTCTCCAAAACCTCTCTCTCTCACCGCGGCTCTGCCGGCAGATAAGGCTGGTGGAGAGGGGATAATGTTGCGGGTGTGGAGCATAGATATGAAGAGGCGGTCAGCTAGCTGAAGCAAAGATTCGTACACATCGCTGAACCGACGCCGCTTTATCCCACGTCCAGCTCTGTCACTCTGCAGGGTTCCAAAGCCGCTCTCAGGGTTACGATACATCTGCTCGACTGTCTCCAAATATGACCCGTCAAAGCCGGAAGACTTGTCCGTCTTCCTCATCGGAGACCTCATTGGTCGTAAGGCATCAACGGAGCAATTATACTCAGTCACCCCAGAAAATACTGAGCAAAGAATGAGCAGCATGATGAGGAGGAGTGCACCTGCTGGTCGCCAAGGCAGGTGATTTCCGAATTTGAGGAGATGATTCATCTGCACGCGGTGTGAGGAGGGGTGCGCTTCAACGCCAATCACCTTTTTGTAGATAACTGGGAACTTCTCCTTCAGAAACCGGACGGGCAGGACGTGCGGCTCAGGTACGCGGCTAACCGAACCAACCGTAATGTTGTGATATCCCAGAGGTATGAGGCGCGGATGCTTGAGGGTCTCGGTTGGAGTGAGGCGTGCCTCCCTCAAAAACGATGCTCTCGTGTCATTTACGAAGTATCTGCCCCTCCTGAAGTCACCGTCTGAAAGGGCTGAAACTGAGCCAGATGGTGCAGGGGAACTATCCGCTTGATGCAGTTTCTCAGCCGCCAGCAACTTATGATGGAACGCTTCAGGCAGCTGGCACATCCGTGCTTTCGCGTGTTCGATTTTCAGGAGCTTCCAATCGTCGCGTGAAAATCCAATGCGCGAAATTGTCGTGCGAAACTCATAGTTTGACAGCCAGTCATCGATATCGCAACCATCTGAGCGGTTGATCTGCGTACCAAATGGCCCTAACAGATTGTCGACGGAGTCGGGGATCAATCTGAAGCCCTCAGGGAGCTTGAAATGCAAATCTTTGATCTGTGGCCATACACGCAGGACATCGGCATCACTTTCAAGAGCTTGATCTAGTGCAGAAAGTCTCTGAATGCGCCATCTGGATGATCCGGAGCACTGATCAGGATGGTCAGAGCAGCAGATACTTGACAAAAGATCAAATGCTGAGCCCAACATTGCTAATTCACACAACACATTTTCGCGATGCTCTGCCATGACGCTTTAATGCAAGATGACGAAAACAATAGAACCCGAACTTTTCCTCGAGTGGCACTCAAGCGTGATCAGATCCATCTAAGTCTGTATTAATGTCTTAGAATATGTGAAAGTTCTTCTTAGAAGCAAAGGAGTAAGGGTTTCATAGAGCAAGTTGTTATGATATCTTAATGTTTTGGAAGATGCAAGGTCTGTGAGTCCTAAGCTCTCTCAGATGGCAGAGTTCATATCATCCAGGGCAGCGCCAGGGTCCTCATCCGAAAGGTCATCAATTGGGCTCATGTGGGCAGCCCTACGCATCTCTCTGATGCGGTCAGCCTGAAGGGGTGTCATCTCTTGCCCCAGGTCAAAATCCGTGTCATACGTCGGCGTCCTTATTGGTGAGTAGCGCTCCTCCTCCTTCTTAGCGTCCGTCTCAACATCATCCTCATTGCGGCGCTGGCGCTTGTGCTCTGTCTTTGATCTTGGAACAGGGGGAGTTGGTGGAGCCTTGCCTGGGGTCACTGGGGTGCGTCCCACACCTTTTGGACGCTCAGAAGAAGTGTTCGGCTTCCCAGGCTCTCGCTTGCGGCGCCTACCACTCGGCTCATCATGGCCATCCTCAGCAGATGGGGGGGGCGGAGGTGGAGGAGCATCTCTCTCCTCCTCATGCTCGGATCTGCGTGCATACTGTTTGGACAAGAACATCTGGCCCTCAAGTTTCAGCTTGTCCAAGTCAGACAGGAAGGAGGATGCTGTCACAGAATTCGGGATCGTGGCGGTGGCAGGAACCTGGAGTTGGTCCCTATCGTCCCTTGACAACCTCTCGGCCAGCTTGAAGACTACTGAAGATTGCGGGTTGACCGAGGCTTGCCCAATGGTTGAGTCCTGCAGGAACCTGACATCGGTGGCTGAGTTTGCTGCGATAGCGTGCGCCGAAAGCAATGGCATCCTCGTCGTCAGAATGGCACCAACAGACTCAGACGGGACATCAGGTCTGAATGCACCAATCTCAAGGAGCAAGGCCTGGTACCTAAATGGAGGCAGGCGGAAGGCTTCCTGAATGAGCACATCGCGAGCATCGTCCCGAAGCATTGGGAAAACGACATTCAACAAGGCGCGTAGTTTGTCCTTCACGGCATAGAGATCGATGTCCTCTGGCTTGCACACCAGTGATTGATCTATCTCCTGGTCCTTTGCAAACAGGCCAGAGGGGATGAGGAAATGGCCTTTAGTACTCCAATAGCCTTTCGCCACGCATTCGCGGCACAATGAGTGCCATGATGACATTGCGATGTCCTCCGACGCATTACATGCAGTCAGTGAGCCAATCAGGCTATCAAGAAGAAGACTCATTCTGATAGGAAGTCCTCCCATCTGATGGCTGGTTCTTAGCAGGGAATGAGGGGAATGATGTATGCTAGATACTCCCTTAAAGGGCATTATATAGGGTACCTCATTCCCTCATTCCTTACGAAGAACCAAGGGGAGGAACCATATGAAAGTATGGGCGCCCTATTTGGGCTGGTTACTTTATAGGGACCCAGAACCGAAAGAAGGGTAGAGGGTGGTACCACTGGGCTACAAAGCTATCCTCATAAAAGCCATAGTAAAGGGAATCCCACCTCGTATCATCCCTAAACCATGTTCCAACTTTCTGGAGTTTATTGTACTGCTGGTTACTAGGGGAATGGGGGAATAAGGTACCATACATAATCGTAGGGTCTAGGGTTTTGGGGCTTAGCGTTTAGGGGTCTAGGCCTAGGGTTTGGAGCTAGGGTTTTTTGGTTTAGGGCTCTTTTTGTGCCACCCGCCTAGTTGACGCATGGTTTAGGGTTTAAGGGGATAAGGCTTCAGGCAGCAAAAGGAGGAATAGGGATATGGGTGCTGGGTCAGGCTTCTCCAGGGATCAGGGGTTGGGGGTCTTAGGAACGAGTTGAGAAATTAGGAAGCTTCGGTAATATTATAGGGGCCGGATAACAAGGAAGAATGCTTCATTATTCCGGGCGCACTTATGAGGCATTGGGGTTTCTACTGTTTTCTTAAGAACACACCCCCCCCCCCCAAACAAAAACAAAAACAAGTAAATAAAAAAATGCCCTGATAAGGAAGAACATGTTTTGTTTTTTGTGGGCTTCCTTGCAACATTCGGTGGCCTTGGCCAGGGTAGGCAGTAGGTCCTCCTCGGAGGAGTCGTTCGCAGCTTGTGGGTCTTAAAGGGAATGTAGAACTTGCCATCCCCAACCTAAAACGGATGGCCTTTGAAATATGGTAGGGTTGTGTACAGCCAAAAGGTTAACGGCTATCTACTCAGCGACTAGGCCAACATCACAGGGTTGCAAAAACAACCAGTGGTAAACCATGATCCTGATTTCAAACTGGGCACCTAGTGCAGGCCTGTAGGATGTGGGGAGGCTGGAATAGAAGGACCTGGGCTGAAGCACTAAGGCAAAAAGAAATGCCGATGCAGTTGGGACAACACGGCCGGACTTTCTGGAACCAATGGCGGAAGTTTCGTTCCAGAGTCATTCCCGTCGCAGGGATTATTTTTACACCAAAATCCTTTCATGCCCTCATCCCTCCAACCCCCAAACCATGAATGCAAAACTGGCATGGTCGTGTCCTCATCAATCTCCTCCTCCGTAAAGGCGGAGAGGAGCTCGTCAAAGCTGGCAGGACGAGACTTTGGGATTGTCCCTAAACTGTTTACGGTTTAGGGTTTAGGGTTTAGGGTTAACCCTAAACCCTGAACCCGTCGCAGCTGGGCTATGTCCAGTCGGGTACATGTCGAATTGACAGCTCTTTTTGATCTTATAAGGGTCAACTGTGACAGCTGATGGCTAGAAACTGGTCATGGGCTCAAAAATTCGCAAGCATCTGCGTCGACCAGAGAGAAAGAGTGCGGAACAAGGTGCAGCAAACCGGCAGCTATAACAATCACAGCAACCTGCACCAGGCGCAGCAGCGGGCAAGGACAGACTTTGCGTATGATTAGATTCGTCTTACACGATGTTCTATGCCCTGGACCCAAACCTCTACTTGCCACCAGTTTTGGACTTTTCACCCCCAACCCCAAACAATCAACGGGCCTCACGTTGCCTTGCACTTGGAGGACTTCCCCCACCTGACACCGAGAAGGCTCGCGGCTGCCAACTCCGAAAAGCGCCCCAATACGTAGTCATGCGAGAAACTCTTTCGGCCTGGTTTAGGGTTTAGGGTTTAGGGTATAGGGTTTAGGGTCTAGGGTATAGGGTTTAGGGTTTAGGGTTTAGGGCGTTCCGGAAAAGTCTCTAAATATCCCCAGTGTTTAGCCTGGACAGGATCCTATGGCCTATAGTCTCAAGCCACGATGGGGTTTCCGAAAATAAGGGTACCCATTTTGGGGGTCCTTACAAGGGGAGTCTGTTCTATTCCGGGGTATAAACGGGGCCCCCCTACCCTAAACCCTAAACCCTAAACCCTAAATACCCACATGCTGGGAGTCTGGGGCCCCTGCCGAATTCCTGACGCTGCTTCGCAGATCCGACTGCAGCACGTGGCCCCTCGGTAGAACCCGCGGCTTGCAAGGTAGTTCATCCTGAACTTGCAAAACTCCTTAAATAAAGAAGTGTACCCTATTTTATCTTTCCAAAACCCCTGAACTAAGGAATATACCCCCAAGTTCTACTAAGGATCATGTTTGTGAATTGGGGTATACTCCTTAATTAAAGGGGTTTTGGAAGATCTGGGTCTATAAGCACTTGAGATTGACAACGGCAGAGGTTTCCAACAGTTGGTGGTTTCGGGCTCCGCATGCCAACATCCCAACTCGATCTTTAGGGTTTAGGGTTTAGGGTTTAGGGTTTAGGGTTTAGGGTTTAGGGTTCGGGCCCAAAGACACGGTCTGCGGCACAAGATTGGGGTTGGCGCTTTTGTGCCTTGTAGGTTCATGAGTAGCTACAAGTAGGGTTATAAGTACCCTAAATAAGGCTATAAGTATAGTGGCCATGCCTATGACCCCTTAGAACTACCCATGAACCTCCAGGGGCCCATGTCCTTTAGGGTTTAGGGTTTAGGGTTTAGGGTTTAGGGTTTAGGGTTTAGGGTTTATGAACCTCCAGGGGCCCATGCCATAGTTGAACTGCCAAGGGACTCCTCTTCTTCGTCGCCATAGGCCTAGCCACCCAAGGCAGATCAGAAGGGTTTAGGGTTTAGGTTCAAGGGTTTGGGCTGCCCCCGGAGGGACATCATATCATGGAATCGCCTCGCAGCTCGCGTTCAGGGCTCCTAAACCGTTCGCTTTTTACACATGGACTTGCTGAGAGGAGCCCTAAACCCTAAACCCTGAAACCTAAACCCTAAACCCCAAACCCTAAATCCCAAACCCTAAACCCTAAACACCCCTAACCCCAAACCCTGAACCCTAAGCCCTGGCCCCTTGCGATGTGGAGCACCTCGAAGAAGTGCTCCTGCAGCCGGCCCTTGATGTCTGCAAACCTGTTCGCAACTCTGGGGCTTCCGGGTGTGGGGCTTGCGTGGTTTAGGGTTTAGGGTTTAGGGTTTAGGGTTTAGGGTTTAGGGTTTAGGGTTTAGGGTTTAGGGGTTCAAGGTTTAGCGTTAAGGCTTATGGATTTATAGGGTTTAGGGTGGTAGGCTCCTGATAGGCTCCAAAAATGTTGAGGGCTTGCACCCGTGGAGGCATCGTGTAGGCAGTGCGCATGAAAGCACTAATCGCACCACTCTCCCTGCTCGCCTGATACGAAAAGGCCTGCTCTTGCCAAGAAACCTTTGCATGTCGAAATTGTCAACGCCCCTCGTGACCTCGTGATAGAGCCAACCTTCCTTACTCGCAAGGGTTTCGTACCCTTCGTGCGCATGCTCAGTAGCCCGTAACTAGGCTGGCTAGGGTGTCGGTCAGGTTGCAGCGACATTGTCGCCCGAGGCCGTTGCATCAGCGTTGCACTTCTTGGCCATCCGAATCGCGCACGCCCCGTGTGCACTCAGTTTCTGCCCCATGCGTTGGCAGGAAACCGATTGAGTTGGGAAAAGGGGTACCCACCAGGGTCTCGTCTTTGTCGCTCAATCCGAACCCCTCTTGCATCAGGACTTCGCCCCTAAACCCTAAGCCCTGAGCCCCAACCTTAAACCCTCAATCCCTTTTTTTGAACCCTCAATCCCTAAACCCTGAACCCTATAGACTTCACCCCTAAACCCTAAGCCCTGAGCCCCAACCCTAAACCCTCAATCCATTTTTTTTGCACCCTCAATCAAGAAAACCCTGAACCCTATACCCGAGGGCCTTGTCGAGCTACCGCGCGCCTGCCGAGTTCTTCGGAAAAGTGGCCAGGGTGGGCCGCAAAAACCTAAACCCTACACCCCAAATCCTAAACCTTAAACCCCTAATCCTAAACCCTGCTGGGTTTAGGGTTGGGGTTTGGGGCTTGGGGCTTCCGATTTAGGGTCTGAGGTTTCGGGTGCGGGTGTGGGGCCTTGTTGCTTTAGGGTTTGGGCTTCAGGGGCTGAGGCTGCTTTTCGGGCGTTGGCGACGACGGCGAAACTGTGTCATTCCAGCTCGTGTGCATAGTAACTCTTGGTAGCACTTCATACACACCCTAAACCCTAAACCCTAACCCTAAACTCTAAACCCTAAACCCTAAACCCTGAACCCTAAACCTCAGCGCGCAACGCGTCGTGGCCATGAAGAAGACCCCTGGCCCCACCAAGTCCGCGAGAAAGCCCGCCGCAGCCAGTGCGCTGAAGTCAAGGACGCCTCGTGCTGGGTTCAGGGTTTAGGGTTTAGGGTTTAGGGCTTGGGGTCTAGGGTTTAGGGTTTAGGGCAAGTTTAGGGTTTAGGGTTTAGGCTTCAGGGCTTAGGGTAGTAGATGACAAACGCTCTAACTAACGAAGTCAGCGGGTTTTCTGGGCTGGTTGCAAGGGCCTGCAGAGGACGCGAGGCCTTTGTCATTCTGGGGCCTGCAGCTTTACAGTGGGGCACCATCTTGGCAACGTGACTACAGGCGCCCCACAGCTGCTGACTTGTCGCTACACTACACGCCCGAACCACCCGCCCTAAACCCTAAACCCTAAACCCTAAACCCCAAACCCTAAACCCTAAACCCCTACAGGCCCTAAACCCCAAACCTGGCGTTTTTGGACCCTTTGCTTCCCCAGGCACAACACCCTCTCGAGTGCCTGTGCCCCTCACATCGGCCACCGCAAGCGCTGCCTGCGAATTGTCAAGGGTTTAGGGTTTAGAGTTTAGGGTTTGGGGTTTAGGGTTTAGGGTTTAGGGTTTAGGGTTTAGGGTTTAGGGTTCAGGGTTCAGGGTTTAGGGCCTTTCCTTACTTGAAGGTTCATGGTACTTATTAACCAATTATAACAGTACTTAGAACTGTACTTATAACCATATTAGGGCACTTAGGGGGCTTATAAGTGGGTTAGAAGTACAGTTATAATTGGTCAATAAGTACCATGAACCTCTAAGTACTTGTGGCAATACTGGAACCGTCTTCTTGACTGCCGCAGCTTCCTGGCATTCCTCATGCTGCGGCCCCTGGCAATTGAAGGACATGGCCAAGGACACTTTCCGCGTCCTGCAGCCCTCACAGTTCGACCCTGCACCTAGGGTTTAGGGTTTAGGATTAGGGTTTAGGGTTTGGGGTTTAGGGTTTAGGATTAGGGTTTAGGGTTGAGGGTTGAGGGTTTCGGGTTTCTGCACATGCACCTCAGCGGCCGCCTGGCGCACGCCGCGCTTCTCCAGAATCCTCAGATGGCTGTGCCACGAAGACTTGTTAGGGTTTAGGGCTTAGGGTTAGGATTTCGGGTTTAGGCTTTAGGGTTTCGGGTACCCGATATACCCAGGGAGCGCAATTACTCCTTAGTTAAGGAATAGACCTTAAAATATAGAGGGGCCCTTCATATGATGTAAGGTATATTCCTTAGTCAAAGGATATTGCTTCATCAAGGGATATTGGGCTCTTTGGATACCCATCTGATCCACCGCAGCTTCTAGGTGCGAGGGGTGAGGGCCAAGTACGCACGGGGGCTTAAGCCTTCCATACGGGGAGCTTCATGTAGAAGCATAGTTATTATATTGATATAGTTACCATACTTATAAGCCTGCTGTTGGCTACCCATGAACCTCCAAGTAAGCTACGATGTCCCAATCTGCTTCAAACCTACTTCCCCCACGTTGAAATTTGGGTCTGCTTGTTTGGCATATGGGGGTTTACGTAGATAAGGGACCCCATTATATAGACCCCCCAAACAGTAGGGTTCCCTCATTAATAGGGGCCCCAAGGAGGTACCCCCATGTCCCTTTTCAACCTGGAATCTGCTTCAATGCACCCATGTCCTTTTGTCTCCTAAACCCTATTTAGGGTAAATAGTACGATCTCTTTATAATGAGGACCCCTAGTATGCTGACCGGTTGCTTCTGGGCCGAGACAAGCGCAATGAGGCCATCATCATCCTGTTCTCAGTCTACCCCAAAGAATTGGCAGAACCCTGTTGCTCATCTTGGAGAAGAATACCACTAGCCTCTTGCATTGATTTCTGCAAGAAAACAATCTTCTGAGCTTTTCTAGTGTCAATGGTAAAATGTTATTAACATTTCCACCGTCTCGTCTGTCAGAGTTCATGATTCATGCACTACATGAGCATGCAAGGCATTTAGTTTTACCGCCCGTCTGGCAATCCCTATTTCTTTATGAAACGGTAAAGGTAGAGTCTTCGCACAGTGAGGGCACAAGCGGATACGCCGTCCCATTGCCGCGAGTATCATCTGCGGCATCAGCTTCTGCAACTTGTGTTTGTGTTTAGGGTTTAGGCTTAGGGTTTAGGGTTTAGGATTTGGGGTTTAGGGTTCAGGATTTAGAGTGAAGAGTCAGTTTCCTTTCTGCCATGGACAACATTGAAGGCTTCCAGAGCCCTCTCGTGCTCTTGTCATAGCTTTTGGGCTTCTGGGTTCGCCAAAACGACTTCTAAGAAGCTTCCATAGGTCTTACCCTAAACCCTAAACCCTAAACCCTCAACCCGTTATAGATTTCAGAGAAAGCTGTCACACACAGCCACATTGCATGGAGATCCGGCGCGGGGGGCGCGGCAAGGTTGGGATCCCCCGTGCAAAGCCCGTTCCTGGTCAAAGGCATTCAGCTCCTTCAGCAAGGACTCCTTGTCAAGCTTGCGCAGACAGAGCAGATAGATATAAATAACTAAATAAATATATATATATATATAGACTATACCATGTATTGTACATATATATATATATACACATCAGCTCCACATCTACATATACACAAATAAGTTATTGATATACTTGTTTCATGTATTTACTTTTGATGCTTCCCAAGCCACGCTGTTTAGGGTCTGGGGTCGAGGGTTAAGAGAAGGCCCTGAACCCTCAAGACCCCCAAAGACCTGCTAATTTTTGTTTAGGGTTTAGGGTTTAGGGTTCAGGGTTCAGGGGTCAGGGTTTAGGGTTCAGGGTTCAGGGTTCAGGGTTTAGGGTTTAGGGTTTAGGGCTTAGGGCTCTTCTCTGGCGCAGCCAGGCTTCGACGTCGCGCTGCGCCATCTCGATGGGGATCAGGAGGAGTGCCTCCGCAAGCACAGTTCCTCCGAGTTTTCCCTGATGACTCTCCAAACCCTAAACCCTAAACCCCAAACCCTAAACCCTAAACCTCAAACCCCAAACCCCAAACCCTAAACCCTAAACCCTAAGCCCTCCTTGGAGGTTTGTGGGGACTTGTCAGTACGGTTGCAAGTACCCTGAATAAGGTTAGAAGTATAGTTACCATACTCAGAACCCTACATATTATAAGTACCCATGAACCTCCCGGTCTTTCAATTTCTGCAACAGGGCTCTCGTCATCTCAGGTTCTCTGCCCACGCTGCAGTTGCGGACCAGGAAGATAATTCGCCGAGTGCACCCAACGCTCTAAATGATCAGTTCAGGTTCGTGCACAACTCGTAAGGCTGAGAGCTAAAGGGGGTTGGGTGTTGAAGTGCCTTCTGTAGAGCCCCGAAAACTTTGGAGGGGGGAAGTTGAAGCACCCCTAAACCCTAAACCCTAAACCCTAAACGCTAAATCCTAAACCCTAAACCCTAAACCCTAAACCCTAAATCCTAAACCCTAAACCCTCTCTCTCTCTCTCTCTCTCACAGGCGCTCAGTCAATGTCAGGCCTGTCGTGGCATCACAGCCAGCACAAAAGAGGCAATGGCCCGCGACCACTGCACTTACAGGAACAGGCGACTCAAATCGGCAGTGGCTCTTTGACCACCGCGCACACAGACCGCTCTTGCATGGCACTTACTCGCACTTGCCCATCAGCAACGACGAACCCTGTCCCCGTGAGAAGCAGGAACCGACTCAATCATGAAAACGCAATCGAAGTAGAAACGCATAAGATGTTGCACACATTCCTGCCATCGTTCAGTATCCGTGACGACAGTAAGCTGCACGACAAAAGGGGGCACTTCACCCAGCAACCGAAGCCAGCTAAGCCAAGAAAGAACTGCGCTGGTAAAATCATCGTCAGCGAACGATAACTGCATCCAACCTTCCTGGACATCCAGCCACTTGAAGTGAAGCCTTCCCTCTTCTCTCCAGCAGAAAACAGCACGGAACCAAGCAACCGCAGCATTGTAACATTCCGCCCACCGCCCCCTAAACCCTAAATCCTAAACCCTAAACCCTAAACCCACCAGAAGATCCTTACATCGGGCACCAGGGAGTGCAAACTTTGGCAGAGGACTGAGGCGCGCACGGTCGCGTAGCAGGCGATCCTCCAGCTTAGGGTTTAGGGTTTAGGGTTTAGGGTTTCGGGTTTAGGGTTTAGGGTTTACCGGTGCCTCTCCCGCGCGTCATCCTCGAGGTTCTCCGGGGAAAGGCTTGGCCGGAGCAGCACATTCCGCAACCTGGGCTTTCAGCACAGGGTTTAGGGTTTAGGGTTTAGGGTTTCGGGTTTCGGGTTTCGGGTTTCGGGTTTAGGGTTTTGGGTGTTGGTGCAGGGTTGGCGGTTATAGGGGAGTTGAGTGTCATTTGGTACAGGGGTTCGGGTTTTAGCTTGGTGGAGCGTTTAAGGGTCCTTTTTCGCGCCACCCCGTCTAGCTCACACTCAGGAAGCGCTGCAGTATAGGGGCCTTGAGAATTATGATTTTTTTTTTTTTTTTTGGGGGGGGGGCTTATAGCATAACTATATACAGAGGCCACAAGGGAATGCTCTTACACAATAACTTATTATTACTACTAGTAATACTTTTATTATTATTATTATGTTTTAAATATTATTCTTATTATTATTGATATTTTTATCATTATTATTCCGACCCCATCGACCCCCATATGATGCAGTAAAACTTTCTTTTGCGAGCTGCCAGGGCTTCAGCTTCGACTCTGGGTGTGGAAAGGGCATTCGACTCCGATCTTCCAAAAGCCCTTCATTTCAGGAATATACAGGGTCTAGGGTTTAGGGTTTAGGGCTTAGGGCTTAGGGTTTAGGGTTTAGAGTTTAGGGTTTAGGGTTCATACCCTAACTCACAATCATGATCCCTAGAGTCAGGGTAATATTCCTTAATAATTGAGGAGTTTTGGAATCAGCGGCTCGCATGGAACCCTTAAACCCACTGAGACACAACTGAAAGCACCTTTTGGATGTTCCTCCTTATAATAATGACAGCCCTTGGTAGGGAATATATGCCGCTTTATACTAACAGTGCGTCATAGGGATTGTAGTATGATCCCTATAAAGGACTGTTTTAGTATAAGGGGGAACATCCCAAAAGCAAATCATAGTCAGCATGCTTGTCTTGCGTCGAGAGGCCACGGGTGGTGCAGGGCAGATGCGGCAGTCGTCCCAGAACGCAAAAACTTCACAAACTCCTCTGCGTGCGCAGGTGTGCGACCGAAGGCCCTAGTTAGTTCTGAAGCCTGGTAGGCGCGGACCTTATTTGGTGTAGGTAGGCTATCTATCTGACTGGTGTCCAGGTAACTCTCTAAATTACAGGGTGGGATGTCGTGGACCGCAGCTGCTCCACAGACAGGACCAAGCCACCCTAAACCCTAAACCCTAAACCCTAACCCTAAACCCTAAACCCTAAACCCTAAACCCTAAACCCTAAACCCTAAACCCTAAACCCTAAACCCTAAACCCTAAACCCTAAACCCTAAACCCTAAACCCTAAACCCTACCATGCGGGGAGGAGAGACTCCTTCGCCTCCTCGCTGCGGCCCTCCCACAAGTCGGAGGAGGCCCAAGAGTCATCCTGGCGAAGCTCTGGGGTGCAGTGGGCTCAGGGGTTCAGGCTGAGGGGTTAGGGTTTAGGGTTTAGGGGTTAGGGTTCAGGGATTAGGGTTTAGCGTTCATGGTGTAGTGTTCAGGTGCTAGGGTGCTAGGGTTGGAGGTCGGCCTAGCTGGGCTTGCGCCAACAGGGAGGAGTCGAGGTCAGCAACGACCCAGATCTTCCAAAACCCCTTAATTAAGGAGTATACCCTAACCCTAAACCCTAAACCCGTGATTCTAAGGTAAGGAATTGGGGTATACTCCTTAATTCAGGGGTTTTGGAAAATCCGGGTACGCTCCTAAACGCAGTGCCCGCGTCTGTGCCGGAGGGTCTTAGGACCTGTTGCAACCTTGCTTGTTGACTCCAAGGCCAACCATGGTTTCTAACTCGGTCCTTAAACCCTAAACCCTAGACCTGAAACCCCCCCCAAAACCGGGCGACTTTGCGCAAACTGCTGCGGGACTCTTTTAGGGAGGAGGCGGGCACCGGGCTTCTTGGGGATTCAGGGCCTGGGGCTTCAGAGGGCTCGGGCTCGGACTAAAGGTCGCAGGACCCAAAGAGCCCAATATAGCTTCATTAAGCAATATACCTTAAATCACATTAAGGATCCCTATATGATTTAAGGAATATTCCTTAATTAAGCATATACCTTAAATCATATTAAGGATCCCTATATGATGTAAGGAATATGCCTTAATTAAGCAATCTTGGGCTCTTTGGGGATGAGAAGGAGGCGCAGCCCGAACTGTGATCCCTTCGTCCCAAACGCCCAGATACTGAACCCCCACCCCCACTCCCCCCCACCCTCCTCCTGCCCTAAACCCTGAACCCTAAACCCTGAACCCTAAACCCCAAACCCGAAACCCTAAACCCTAAACCCCAACCCTAAACCCTAAACCCTCAACCCTAAGCCCTAAGCCCTCAAAAACGAGCCCCGAGGCTGATGCAGACTGCAGCTTCTGCGCTCTGCTATGGGGACCTGAAACCCTCTAAACTTGGGATGTTCCCCCCTTATACGAAGAAACGAAAGGTATTATAGTAGGGGGTACGACCCTAAACCCTAAACCCTAAACCCTAAACCCTAAACCCTAAACCCTAAACCCTAAACCCTAAACCCTAAACCCTAAACCCTAAACCCTAAACCCTAAACCCTAAACCCTAAACCCTCAACCCTAAACCCTAAACCCATTAAGGACTGTTACTGGTAGCAGAAGGGGGAACATCCCAACCCCAAGCCCCCGAGCCCCCCAAACCGCAATTGGGGCTTTGGGTTTGGGGTTTTGGGGTTTTGGGATTTAGGGGTTTGGGGTTGCGTGGCTTAAACCCTGAGCCCGAAGCCCTAAACCCTAAACCCTAAACCCTAAACCCTAAACCCTACAGTAAACCCTAAACCCCAAACCCTAAACCCTAAACCCTGCTTTTGCTTGCGTGCTTGTGGGCTTCGGCCTCTAGGTTTGCCGGCTGCGTCGAGCCCAGCAGCACGGCGCATGCGAGCCTGACAGTTTCCCCCCAAAAACCTCCCATACTAGGCTTTAGGGTTTAGGGTTTAGGGTTCAGGGTTCAGGGTTCAGGGTTTAGGGTAAACAAATAGAATCACCTTAAAGGGGCCCCCCAAAAGGGTGCCCCTTATTCCGGAAACCCGCATACAATCCTTCAGAGGTTTGAGGTGGCGAATCGGAGTCTGGGGATGGGTTTGGGGTTTGGGTCCAGGCCCTCAAGCCATTCAGCCGGCTCTTGGCGTCCAGACCTTGTCGTTACTCGTCATTTCCTCTTCTTCCCATATCCTTTTAACAATGGGTCGAACAGATGGGCCCAGGAGTACCCTCGGAATGCAAACAACGATTGTTGGGTCCACCCTAATTAACCCTGAGCCCTAAGCCCTGAACCCGGACCCGAGACTCTAAAACCTGAACCCTGAACCCTAAACCTAAACCCTAAACCCTAAACCCTAAACCCTAAACCCTAAACCCTAAACCCGCAAAGGGGGTTCCTGAGTCTGAGTGAACTGCTGGCAGCTGAGCCCCATGCCGTGCGACAGCTTCCAGGTCGGGCTCAGGCCCTGCATGGGGGGCTAAGGGTTTAGGGTTTAGGGTTTAGGGTTTAGGGTTTAGGGAGGGTCTAGGGTTTGGGGGGTAGGGTATAGGGTTCAGGATTCGGAGATCATACCCTAAACCCTTTTTGGGTTTCGGGTGGCTTAGGGTTGATGGAGAGATTCATAGATTGTATGAGCCTATGATCTTGACGGCACAAGTCGAACTTCCCAGGGCGGGATTGAGAAACCCTAGCGGGGTGCTTGCTGGGAGTTAGAGGGCTCAGGAGTCTCTCAAGTTTACGGGCGCTACCGGGTGTAAGGCTTCAGGGTTTGGGTAGGCACGAAGGTTTCCCACAACAGCCTCTCCCTGGCTGGCAACAAGGGCAACATGAAGTGCGCAAGCACAGCCCTATAGACCCCATTTAAGCACCATGCAACCCTCTGCCGCAAACCCTTCTGGCTTGGAATCGGATGTCAGAAGCTAAACGCCCGACCGACAAACTGCCCCCTGAGCCGAGAAGTTTCTGAGCCTCAATCAACAGGAAATTTGAGGATAAAAGCAAGTCTTTCTGGTCATGGTGTACCAAGAGAGACTGAGTTGGATGCGTTCAGAGGGTTCAATGTTTCAACCTTTTTTCGAGTGGCTTTTACCTGACGTGGATGAGCGGAGCTTCTACCAAAGCCTATTGCGACAATCGGGGCCCCGCGCCCGAGCTCGCGGCTGCAGGGTGGGTCTCCAAGCCCGATCCTGACGGGAGTACAGGTTGGGATGTTCCCCCTTATGCTAACAGTCCTTAATGGGGATGATAGTAAGGGGTCCTTCATAGGGATGATAATAAAGGGGTACTATAGTCCCTATTCAGGGCTGTAGGAAAAGGGGGCGGGGGGGGGGGGGAACGCCCGAGCTCGAAGACTTGGACACGGCCCTACATCCCCAAAGACCCCCCCCGTCTGAGCACACTCCCCAGATGGGTTTAGGGTTTAGGGTTTAGGGTCGCAAAACTTGCTTGCTACAAGCAGAGACAAGGGAGCCCACAAGAGCAAGAATTGGGATGGACCCTCATACTTCCTTGGACCGAACATGCCTCTGAGGGTTTAGGGTTTAGGGTTTAGGGTTTGGGGTGACCCTACATCCCCCTGAACCCCTGAACCCTAGGGTGTAGGGTTTCGGGTTTAGGGTTTCGGCTTGAGGGTTTGGGGTTTAGGGCGTGCTACAGACCCTAAACCCTAAACCCTAAACCCTAAACCGGGACCCCTTCATCTCGGAGCCAGCCTTTCAGAGCCGGGATGAGGCCGACGTCGCTGAGCAGGACCCGGGCCTCTGGCTCCCTGGCGTGGTGTTGGACACTTCGGCTTCTGCTTAGGGTTTAGGGTTTAGAGTCTAGGGTCTAGGGTCTAGGGTCTAGGGTTAAGGTTTTACGGTTTAGGGTTTAGGGTTTAGGGTTTAGGGTTTAGGGTTGAGGGTAGAGGGTAGAGAGTTGAGGGTGTAGGGCTTGGTGTTTAGTGCTTGGGGTTTAGGGTTGAGGGTTGGGTTGAGGGCTTAGGGTTGAAGGTTTAGGGCTTAGGGTTTAGGGGAGGAAGGGTGGAGCTCTCCCCCCCTGAATGGCCATTCTCAACTTCTTTATCCAGGAGCATCATTCTCCACTCTCGCAGCGGAGGTTCGTTGTTTCTGTTTGAAAAATTGGGCCAGGGTGGGGGTGGTTGGGGAGGGGGGGAAGAAGGGCGCAGACCGAGAGACAGGTCAACTTAGGGCTGTCTGCTGGGGGGTGCAGGATTGCCACCAAGCTCGAAGCCCTACAAAACCCAGACTAACCCAGGTTAGGGTTTAGGGTCTAGGGTCTAGGGTCTAGGGTCTAGGGTTTAGGGTTTAGGGTTTAGGGTTTAGGGTTTAGGGTTTAGGGTTTGAGCAAACCTCCGGCGCAGACTCGTAAGTTGACCTTTGCTCGCCTGGTTTGGGGCTTGTCTTGGCGCTGGCAGAGTCGGGCTTTTGGGGCTTAGGGCCTGAAGGCTTTCTGTAGGGTCTAGGGCAGGGTCTAGGGGTGCTTCACGTAAATAAGAAACAGCTGCAATGGTTCGTGTTTGACTCAGTTTCGACGGTTTAAGAAATTGAGGGCTTCGTTCAGGCATCTGACTGGGCAAAAGACGTGCTGGGCTCGGTGGTTGGCAGCCCTTGCCGGCGTGCAAACTACAGTTTAGGGTTTGGGGCTTAGGGTTTAGGGTTTAGGGTTTAGGGTTTAGGGTTTAAGGACAAACATCCCCCACCTCCTGGACCAACGCGCATCCCTACCCCCATCTGAAATATCCCCCGGGACGTGCCTAACAGTCCTTAATAACCCCCGCATATAATCCCTATCAAGGACTGTTCGTATAAGGGGGAACATCCCCAAGTTCATCACGTGTTCCTGTGGCCTCGAGGTGAGGAGCACATTGCTCAGCTGCAGGTCATGGTGATAAACACCTGGGCAAAGTCCAGAGATCAGAGGGACCCTAGACCCCAGGAGATAAAAAAAAAAAAAAAAAACCTTTAAACCCCCAATCCTTGAGGTCCGAAGCTTTTCCTCAATCTCAACATATCTCAACCATCGGACATTTTAGACCACACACCCTCATCAAACTGAAACCCCTGAACCTCAAACCCTCCTTCCAATCGTTTGCAGGTCATGGCTTCGTCAAAAACCTTGCATGAAAGACCTAACAGGCTTTGTTTAAGTGTGTGTCCATAAGGGCTCATGTCCAGTTTTGTTGGGGGCCTGAAAGACTGAAAGTTGATCCGTTCACCTTTAGGATTCTGTAGGGATTCGAGTGCTACCACGCTGCTTGTTCGACTAGGCTTGAGTTACCCTAACCCCTTTAAGGATTTTGGGTTGAGGGCCTAAACGCGAAACCACTGATGGTTGCAGAAGTGGGGCCCACTGCATGGCAGTGCGCCAGGGCAACCAGGACCTGCGCCACATAGCTGGCACCTCGGGGTTTAGGGTTTAGGGTTTTAGGGTTTAGGGTTTAGGGTTTAGGGTTTAGGGTTTAGGGTTTAGGGTTTAGGGTTTAGGGTTTGGCTCCGATTTTTTTGGCCACCCGCCCAGCACTCGCGCACACTCCGGTGTTTTGGGTCCGCCGAGTGGGACAGCAATCAAGTCGAGTTCTTGTATGCGTGTAGATGGCCAGTTCCATCCTCTGTTCCTTTTGGCAGTCCTGTTCTGCTAAACCCTAAACCCTAAACCCTAAACCCTAAACCCTAAACTTCGGGCCTGCTACACTCTGAATCCATAGAGGCAATGTAGACCCAGGTCGTGAACTCGGAGCTTTTCTCTCAGACCCAAAAGGACTGTTTAGGGTTTAGGGTGTAGGGTTTAGGGTTAGGGTTTTTTGGCTTAGGGTTTAGGGTTCTTGAGGTCTGATTTCCCACATCGCCGCAAAGAGTAACTTGACATTCGGGCGCCCCGATAACCTGCTCCCTTTTTGAAGTCGGGCTTTAGGGTTCTTGTAATCCCACAAGCTCCGAAAGCGCGGGTTTCGACGTGTGGTCTCGAGGGGAGAGTCGCCGAGGGCGAGGCAAATCTCCTCCTCGAGGGTGGCTTCCTCTCCGAGCCTCCCGCACACTCTTGGGTTTAGGGTTTAGGGTTTAGGGTTTAGCGTTTAGGGTTTAGGGTTTAGGGTTTAGGGTTTAGGGTTGAATTGTTGAAACCGGACTGGCTGCCAAGACCCCTAAGCCTTAAACCCGCCTGCCACCCCCACTTGCTTTGTCTCTTGGGGTACGCTGCGGATTTCAGCTTGTTGAAGGTTTCGGGCTGAGGGGCAGAGTGCAATGAGAATGGGGGCCCTACTTGGATCTTTAGGGGTGTCTTTTCCTTGGAGCTCTGCCCAGATCTTCCAAAACCCCTGAACGAGGGAACATGCCCAATTTCATAATGATGATCCGTAGTATAAATTCGGGCATATTCCTTAAATAAGGGATGTTGCAAGATCTGGGTGGCAAATCCAGAAGAAAGCGGCAAGGCAAGAGAAATGGAGCAGAACGTAGTACGTAGAAGTAGTCGGAACAGCCCTGCTTGCAACCGGCGAAGGACAACAATAAGAACAGTCGCAACTGAACCTGCGGGTACAGCACCAGAGCATCACCGCAAAGCAAGATTGATGGAATCAGCCAGGTTCTTGACACGAGACAGGCTACAAGCCGGCCCCAATCTCATGGAAAGGCCCCCACAAAGATGCAGGCCGTGTGCACATGCGCGCATCCGAAAGAGCGCACACGACGCCACGCTGCTGGCGTCAGGGCTTGCAGTTTAAAGATGTTTCGCTCTACGCCGCAAACTGGTCCTACCATGAACAAGCGGGATTGTTGCGTTGCAAGAATCGACGTAATTTCGCCTTGCACTCCGTTAGCCTCTCAAACTGAAGGTTAATTCTTTTGACTCAGCGCGCTAGGACACCGTCCGCTGGAAGACGGTGGTGTTGGCGCTGGCAGGCGTGCCAGTCATCCCCGTGTCCATCATGCCTGAGCGGAGACGTGTGCTGTGTGATGTGTCCCTAAACCCTTAAACCCTAAACTCTGAACCCTTCTTGCACGCAGGTCTCCCGCCGGGCATCACCAAACTTATTGAAGAGGCTGAACCCTAAACCCTTAACCCTAAACCCTGAACCCTTGAACGCTTGTTTCTCTCTGACTTGTCACTGTCGGGGAAAAACTGATCTGAACAGCCTGTCGACTCCAAGCCACAAAGCCCTGAACCCTAAACCCAACCTCCCCCCCCCCCCCCCCCCCGCCCCCCAAACCGTTTACTTATGAAAAACCCTAAGCCCTAAACCCTGAACCCTAAACCCTTAACCCTAAACTAAACCCTAAACCCTAAGAAAGACCTAGGGTCGACCCACCGCCAGCCGGGAAAGTGTAAAGGATCAAAGTGCAAGAGAAAGCAGTGGGAGCTCTTCATTGGGGAACAGAGGGGCTCGGGTTTGGGGTTTAGGGCTTTGGGTTTTAGGGGCCTCAATTATTAGAAAAGTGCCTTAAGGGAATACTACTAGCATTTCTTCCGACCCTTTAGTAGTTCTCTAAAAATCTAAAGGAGGGTCCCATTAAAGGCTTCTTCCTTCATTTTATCAGGTGCCATACTTTTTCTAGGGGACCCAAGAAGGGACTCTAATTTCGAGATCTACCCCTACTTGGTAGGAAGCTCTCAGCCCTACATGCATCTGCCCAACACAAAGTTATGATGGCAGAGGGCGGTAGTAGCGCTCTGCAACGCCAGCGTATGGGCCAGGGATCACACCTGACGCAGCATCTTAAGCAATTGCTAGTGCTTTCGCACTGCAAGGTTGAAACGATTACGCGCCCGGCGTCCCGCGCCACGCCCGTGGTTACCTCATGCAAGTCCCCCTTCGCCCTTTGAAGATAAAACCACCAGAGCAACCCTAAACCCTGTTTTTGCTTCAGGTCTCTCGGGGTAGCCCATCCCTAAACCCTAAACTTCAAACCTAAACCCTACACCCTAAACCCGAAGCCCTAAACCCTACACAAAACACCCCACACCCTACACCCTAAACCCTAAACTCTACATGTTGTTGGTCTCGCCCGGCCTGGCTGGGCGGTCGCCGGGCGCCAGTTGGCCTGCGCGGGCCTTCGGTCGCACTTTGGGAGTCAAGGGATAGGGCCTCACGGGCTCGGAGTTCAAGGGTTCGGAGTTTCTGCCTTAGGGTTTCGGGTTTAGGTTTAGGGTTTGAACTGAAATCTGAAATCTGAAAGGGCTCTCACGCGCCTTTTCTGCAGCACCTCCAGGACCCACGATCGTGTGCGCCCATGCGGGGCTTGAGCGCCGGCCTAAACCCTGGGGATGAACCTGCTGCCTGCGATGGCCGGTCAACCGCGAAGATCTAACAGAAAGAAACCCAGATAAGCTAGACTAAAAACCCGAAACCCTTGTGGAAGCCCCCATCTGTGGCAGGATCGCAGCCTGCGCTTCCTGGCATAAAGACTCAAACAAAAGAAAAAGGTAAGGGATAATTAGGGGAGGGGAAGATAGGGGATAAGGTGAGGGCCAGGAACCCGTCCATTTGCGCAGACCTGTCGATGCCGACCGCTGCCGAGCACGGCATCTCAAAACGCGGATGGACTACTCGGCAGATCTTTCCGTCCGCCCCCCTTTTTTTTTAGCAACAGAAAAAAAGAAAACCAAGGCTAACAAAACCCAAGCTAAAGAAAGGAAACTCGAATAAGGGTAAGGCAGACTTCATTCGCTGCGTTTGTATAGACCCTCCGCTCGTAGCTCCACGCTTAGCCTTGCAGTGCTCTTAGGGAACCCCAATACACTTTGCAGAAGGAAAGCAGAGCCATCGAAGCGCCTGGAGCTAGTATGGGTATTCCGGAAACAGTTTCCCAGTATGCTGCCATTTCATGATGGGAGACATGTAAGGTGTACCACGCTTGCAAGACTTCCCCTGTGCGCACTACAAACGAGGGTAGGGGGATGGAACTACCTGGGCAACAGCGAGCATAAGCGAACCCTATAAGGAATCCTACGATAAAAACAAGGCACATTGGGGTGAAGTCTCAGAAGCGCAGTTTCTTGGCCAGCCCTGCAATGATCTTCGCCTTTCCTGCTAGGCGTGCAGGGGTGACTTGCCCACTTTCGCCATACCTAGAAATGATTTTGTCCATGAGCTTACCCTGGCCTTTGGCTTGGGCAAGCTTGGTTTCAAGCTCGGAGACTGGCAAGGGGTCGCTACCCAGATCTACAAAGTGTCCCAACTCAGCTTCAAGAAGCTTAAGTACGGCAACGGAAATAAGAGAGTCCTTATCAGCCCCACAATCCTGAGCTACTTGCTGCTGTTGAGCGGCCCCTTGCGGCTGGGCCTGGCCTGGATGCTGCCAAACCCATTGGCCTGGCATTGGTGGAATCCCCTGCGGAGGAGCCCCCAATTGATGTGCAGCTTGCGCGTGGTTCATGCCGAGAGCTGCTGCAGCTGCTACCCCTGCCCGCTCCTCCAAGCAAGCTGCCAAAGCCTGGGCTTGCAAACGTCTTTCCTGCTGAGCAGCCGCTTCGGCCTTTTGAAGCTTATACTCAGCGTAACCTGGCGAGTCCTTGAGCTCTTTTGCAGGCTGTTTGGATGAGCGGCGTCGGTCTGGCGAGCGAGAGTCAGACTTGGAGCGCCGACGGCGGCCATGACTAGAACTACCCCTGGAGTAGTAGTAGTACTCAGGACGATCACGATCACTATAGCCACGGCCACGGTTGTAGCTGCCTCTGCCACTCCCTTGACCTTTGAAAGTGTCGCGCCCTCTCTTACCAGCCTGCACAATGTAAGCGCTGGCCAGTAGCACCAGAACAAGCAGCGCTCTCACGGAGGGTCCCATGTTGCGACTTGGCAAGACCCAGCTAAGCAATGCGAACAAGAGCTTGTAGCCAAAACTTACGAGAATTTCGCAAACCAAGATCAGCAACCAAAAACTAAGCTCGCACCTAGGACCCTCTTAGCTCTCTACACAAGGACCTTACGGCTTTACGTAGGGCCAGGACAACTGAGCTCTCTAACGGCAGGGAGTGCACTAGTGCTCTAAGCAACAAGGGCGGGTAGCCTTCCAGGATTAACTCCTGCAGTTCCTCAAGCATGGCACTCACTTGGCAAAACTCAGGGATCTCAAGTTCTCGCAATCTGGCTGCCCGGCCTAGCAGGGCACATCGAAGAAACCCAAAGCGTACCTGCAATCGTCCTAGGAAAGGGGCATATCTTTCCTTTGCTTTTTCAGAGGTTCCGAGGATCCATTCTCTGTTCGGATTCTTTGGAATCCATGAGATTTGTCCGCTCTGACCATCCACTCTGAGGACGATATCAGTCCACGTGTGCTGGAGCTGGCATGGGGCAACTTCAAAAGATACTGTATATATCTCTGTAATGAGCTTGCTGAGGCATGCGTGGCAAAGGCATTGCGAGAGAAGCAATAGATCGTCTACGTAGCGGAGACCCAGAACCGCCTGCTCTGGTGTCCATCCCTGCGGGATGAACCTTTGCAGTCTGTTCTTGCCATTGAGGAACTCGTACTCTTCCTGGCTGATGAGGCCCACGGCTGCGACCATCGAGAGCATTCCACCAATTAGCAGGCCTCGCGCCTTCACTACTATATCCCCGAGACACGTGTATCTCAGAAGACAGGCTGTGGTAAGCAAACGCCGTAGCTGAGCAATGGAAAAACACACTTGCTTGCTGGACCGCGTGTGAGGGTTGCCTCCGGGCCACCCATAAACAAACTTGGTTTTCCGCACAGTCAGCGTTGTTAGGCCTGTGGAAGCTTGTAAGCGAGCCGCTCTAGCATCAAACGCAGATATGACCAAGTCTGTGTTGATCTGTTCGTACATCTGAGCAGCATCCGCTATCAGCATGGTTGTGGGTTGCTTGTTTGCCCCGCAACACGTGCAGCAACGCAAATTGCCAGGCGCCCGCAAAACCTGCAACCCTTTCTGCAAGGTAGGAATAATATCTCGCAAACGCCAAACCGAGAAGCCTGGCCCTGTTGACATGATGAGGAGCTGTATTCCCCTTCCTACCAAGCGCCAAGATCGCCTCCACGGAGCTCTGAAGAATGACACCACCTTGCGT